TTCTGTAATAGATCACTGAGTATGATAGACTCTAAATGAACCCAAGTTGCTGCAAAGACCATATGTTTGTCCTTTATGACTGTATAATATTCCATTATGTATATGTGCCACGTTTTTTAAATCCGGTCCAGCTTCAATGAACAGCATGGTTGGTTCCATTTTTTCTATTGTGAATAGAGCTGCAACAGCAGGGAGTCATATGGAAGGTCAATTTCTAGTTCTTTTAGAAATCATCACACTGTCTTCCTTTAAAATTTTTTTTTATAATAAAGATGTGGAGTACCATTCAGGGTTAGGTATACAAACATTGATTATGCAGGTATCCTTGTTGATGAGGTATGACTTCCCTCCCCTAGCAGTTTCCCTCAACTGCCAATCCCACCCCCCCTTCCCTTGACAGTTTCTCAGAACTGTCAATCACTTTCTTATAGTGTTATAGTTATTCAAGTTCTGCTTAATAGTGAGAGCATATAGTACTCTGTTCTTTGTTTCTGTGATAGATCACTGACGGTGATCGACTCCAAATCCATCCAAGTTCCTGTGAAGCCCATATATTTGTTCTTCTTTATGGCTGAGTAATATTCCATTGTGTATATGTACCACTTTTTTATCCAGTCCAGTTTCAATGGGCAGCATGGTTGGTTCCATGTTTTTGCTATTGTGAATAGAGCTACAACAAACATACATGTGCAGGAATATTTTTGTAGAATGATTTGAGTTCCTCTGGATATATTCCCAACAGGGGAATTGCTGGGTCATATGGAAGTTCAGTTTCTAGTTCTTTCAGATATTGCCACACTGTCTTCCAAAGAAGTTGAACTGCACACTGTCTTCCAAAGAGGTTGCACTAGTTTGCATTCTCACCAGCAGTATAAAAGCACTCTTTTTTCTCTGCATTCTCTCTAGCATCTGTTTTTTGTTTTGTTAATGATGGCCATGCTTACTGGGGTTAGGTGGTATCTCAATGTGGTTTTGATTTGCATTTCTCTGATGATTCGTGAGGCTGAGCACTTTTTCATGTGTCTGCTAGCTGCTCGTATATCTTCTTTTGAGAAGTGCCTATTCATGTCTTTTGGCCACCTTTTAATGGGGTTGGTTTTTTTTTCCTTTTTGGCACATTTTAGTTCCTTGTAGATCCTAGATGCTAGTCCTTTGTCAGATATACAGTTAGCAAATGTTTTTCCCACTCTGTGGGCTGTCTCCCCTCTCTCTTGATGGTTTCTTTTGCTTTGCAGAAGCTTGTCACTTTGATGACCCTTATCTATCTTATCTCTTATGATATGGGACTTGGGATTTTGATCAGGAATTGGCTGCCAGTTCCAATTTCCATAAGGGTGCCTCCTGAACTTTCTAAGATTCTTATAGTTAGGTTTTTGATCCATTTAGAATTAATTTTTTTATCTCAGATTCTTATAGTTTGAGATTTTGTGTTTAGGTCTTTGATCCATTTAGAATTAATTTTTGTATGGTAATAGGTAGGAGTCCTGTCTCAATCTTCTGCATGTGATCAGCCAGTTTTCCAAGCACCATTTACTGAATAGGTTCTCTTCTCCCCAGTGGTTGTTGGTGGAAACTTTGTCAAAGATGAGTTGGTTAAGAAATTGAGGATTTGCTTCTAGAATCTCTATCCTGTTCCATTGGTTCATATGTCTGTTTTTGTATCAATACCAGGCTGTTTTGATTATTGTACCCGCATAGTAAAGTTTGAAGTCTGGAAGTTTTATGCCTCCTGTTTTGTGTCTTTTGCTAAGGATTGTTTTGGTTATTAATGGTCATTTATGTTTTCATATGAATTTCTGTATTGTTATTTCCAGGTCTGAGAAGAATGGTGTTGGTAATTTAGTGGGTATTGCATTGAATATGTAGATTGCCTTTGGTAAGATGGACATCTTAACAATGTTGATTCTTCCTATCCATGAGCTTGGAATATTTTTCCTTTTATTTGTGCCTCTTTGGATTTCTTTTAGCAGTGATTTATAGTTTTCATTGTAAAGGTCTTTCATTCTTTGTTTTAAGAGATGCCGAGGCATTTAATTTTTTTTTGGTGTGACTGTTGTGAATGGAATTGTGCCTCTTATTTGGTTCTCTGCCTGCTTGTTGTTTGTGTATAATAATGCAACTGTCTTTTGCATATTTGTTTTGTATCCTGAGTTAGGCAAATAATTCTTGATCAACTCTCCAAAAGTGAATGCCATAAAAGATAAAATAAGCAAGTGGGACCGCATCAAACTGAAAAGCTTCTACAAAGTAAAAGAAACAATCAAGAGATAGTAGAGAATGGTAAAAAATATTTGCCAACTATAAATATGACAATCCTAACATCCTGGATCTTCAAGGAACTCAAATGTGCTAAAGGAAAAAAAACAAACAACCTGATTAAAAAGAGGGTAAAATATATGAACAAACACTTCTCAGAAGAAGACATATGAGCAGCCAACAGATATATGAAAAAATGCTCAGTCTCACTAATCATCAAAAAGATGCAAATTAAAATTACACTGAATTGCTACCTAACTCCAAAAACAACAGATGCTGGCGAGGACGTGGGGAACAGGGTATTCTTCCACACTGTTGGTGGGAATGTAAACCAGTACAACCTCTTTGGAAAACACTGTGGTAATTTTTTTAATGATCTAAAACTCGACCTTCCATATGATCTAGCATTCCCCCTTCAACTCAAATTACTCTATAAAAAAAGATAACTTCACATGCATGTTTATTACAGCATTATTCACAATACCAAAACATGTAACCAAATTTGTTTCTAAATGACTTGTCGACAGAAATTGTAGCAGACAGGGGAAGGAAGATTCAACAGCATCTCTACTAGTAAAGGTCAACCACCTTCAACAGATGCATAGAATTGATAAAGCATCTGTGAAATAGAGTAAGACTGTTATGAGAATACCAGGAGACCTAACCTGAATTACAGGAATGTAGGCAAAGAATGCATGTTAAATGTAGGAATATCTGAATTGGATCTTAGAGTTGTTTTTTTTTTTTTGTCAGCGGGTTATTTCATGGTGAATATGCCCTTTAAAAATTTTTTTTATTTTATTTTAAAGATATGGGGTACAATTCAGGGTTAGGTATACAAATGTTCATTATGAAGGTACCCGGATCTAGAGGTTAAAGGTGGAACTAATCTAGTTTAAATAAGGCAGGGATATGTTAAATTTACAATTTAATGCAGTCCAGGTGACTGCAGGAGGCATGACCATTTGTGTGCTTTACTAGCAAAGAAAGAGAAAAACCACTAAGTTTTTAAAAAGTAAGATAGAGCAGGATTCTATTTGAATATAAGCCTCTTCTACTCTGAGTAAAAAAAATTATTTCACGTTGGAGAAGCTATCTGTGTTCCTACCAGTGATCTGGTACATCTTGTCTAAAACTTTTGTAAATTCCACTCACATTTTAATTGTTCACCAAAAACGAATGGCCAGTACAAAATGAACCCAGCATATCTCAGACTTTTACCAAATAATGAGTGAATCAAAGTCCAGTCTTGTAGATACCAAGTTCTCATCTGATCCAGGTTTAAGGTTTTCTTGGGGTCTATTGTTAAAGTATATCTGTAGCAATGGCCTGTGGTCATGGTTTATGGATCAGATGCAAATGGTACCACCATGACTTCTCTCTAACAGAAGCATATGTCCCATTGTTATGAAATAATAATAATGTTAATATTGCTTGAATAATTAATAAATAAATCCTGGCCTGATATGTGCTCGATATAATATGATGTGCATATTGGTAACTTCATGTATAGACTAGTAAATACTTATGGGAGAAATGTTATCTTTTCTTTTCTTACCCTGATACATCTACTTCCTCTAACTCTTCTTTTTTTGAGTTGTAGTTTCACTCTGTCACCTAGGCTGGAGTGCAATGGTATCCTCAAGGCCACCTCAGCCTTGACCTTCTGGCCTCAGGTGATCCTCCCATCTCAGTCTTCCATGTAGCTGGGGCTACAGGCATGAACCACCATGCCAGGCTAATTTTTTGATTTACTGTAGATGAGGTCTTGCTAAGTTGCCTGGGCTAGTCTTGAACACTTGAGTTCAGGCAATTCTCTCACCTCAGCCTCCCAAAGTGCTGGGATTATAGGAGTGAGCCATTGTGTCCAACACTAACTCTTCTTTTTAATGACAAGGAAATTCATCCTTAGAGGATGTTCTGTTATCTTCCTCAAGGTGTACACCTAACAAAAGCAGAGGCATTATTTAGCTCCAGGGCACAACTAAGTTAGGTACCAACCATAATACACTGATTTTATTTCCAGATTTAATTATAGGCACCTCATTCATAGAGACACAACATGCGGATTTTTCTCAAAGAGGCTAAGAGAAAAAGCAAAATAAGGGCTCTGAGTAAAATTTTCTTTCTTCTGAGATAGGTTTTCTACAAAAATCAGCCAGGTGAGAACTAGGCTCAGTCCCTAGGTTTTTTGTGCCCACCTATTGTAAGTGGAACTTTGGATCATATTCTAATTGACTTCTCATGTTGATATTAATCTCTTAACTTAAACACCCTGTTGAACATTTAAAATTTGCGGCTATATGTGTAGGTTTGTTACATGGGTGTAATGTCTGATGATGAGGTTTGGGTTTCTGTTGAACTCATCACCAAATAGTGAATATGTTATCCAACAGGTAATTCTTTAACCCTTATTCCCTGTTCCCCCTACTCCCTTTAGAAGTATTTAGTGTCTGCTGTTTCATATTTTTGTCTGTGTGTGCCCAGAACGGATCCTTTTCAATGCCATGCAGCCATCTCAAGTACATGTTTAAAATGTTTTTGTCATTGAATACTTACTTCAAGTCTCTTTCAATTCCTCAATACACCTTTTATATCATTTTTTCACCTGTCAATGCATCTTTAATGTCTATATTTTCCATTAGATGGAAAGTCATCTGTCTTCTGTGAGTGCCCAGTGTTTTGCATCATGCCTATCATTTTGTGAGAACTAAAAGGGTTTATTGTTGTTGTTGTTGTTGAAGGTTTTAAGATCCACCATGAAGGAGGAGCTGGAGTCAGCACAGAAAAAACCTTCTCTGGGTGACTTGTTCCACGCACCCAACCTGCGTAAAAGGATCTGTTGCCTGTCCTTTGTGAGGTAGGATTCACACAGTGTGTGAAGAACATAGGATAGTGGAGACATGATTATATCATTTCAAAGGATACAACGTGTTGTGGGACAGAATTAGAAATAAAAGATGAGAAAGCCATAAAGATAGTTGGCATGTTTGGAAGTAGTCAAAGGGTTATGAAAGGACTGACATGGACTAATTACACAAGGAGGTATTTTGTTTCTTTGCATCAACCTGCCACAGTCATCATGAGAGACTGATCATGAGAATTTTAACCATAACACAGAGCTTAGTTTTAGATTTCTTCATATGTTTGTTTTCATTTTAACTGGAATAAAATTACAAAGAGTAAGGTGTATACAGTATGCTTCCCAAATTAACATATCTGTCATCTCTTTCTTTTTTGGCAAGAGCAGTTAAAAATCTATTCTCTTAGCAAAAACTCTGGATACAATATAATGGCCAATATAATTATTACTTATAGTCTAAGTATAACAAAACATTATTTTGTATACTTTAAATATATATGATAAAATGCATGCTGATCAATGATTTTTAAATATATGAATAAGTAGCCAACACTTAGATTAAAATATAGGAAAAGCTCTAAAACTCCAGAAGGCCCTACCCTATTCTCCATAACACTTCCTGCCTCCACCCCCAGAATAATGATCATTGTAACCTCCATCTTCACACAACATTTTATAATTTTAAAATCATCACCCTGCAAGAAACTAGTCTAAAAAGAAGCCACACCTTTATTTTTAACACCAAGCATTGATTGCCTAGCCTGATATCATCATTTGTGGGACATAAGCTCTAAACATTCTGACATCTATTTCTTCTTTTGTTCACCACAGATTTGCAATCGTCCTGCCATTTTTTGGCCTTAGTCTCAACCTCCAACATCTAGGGAGCAATGTTTTCCTGTTGCAAGGTCTCTTTGGTGCAGTCATGCCCCTGGCCAATTGTGTTGGCCTTTGGGCACTAAATTATGTGGGCCGTCGAGTAAGCCAGATGTTTTTCATGGTACTCCTGGGAATCTGCATTCTGGTAATTATATTTGTGCCTCAAGGTGAGAAAAGAACAGACTGACAAAAAGACATGTTTGCCTGTGTTTGTCTCAGTCATTGTATTGATTACATACCAGTGTCTGAAGCCTGAGGGAAACAGATAATTATTTTCTGATGATTTCCCCCCCAAAAAACTGAGAATTTAGGAGAGATTCTGCCATTATGTTGCTGGTAGAAAAGCAAAAATTCAGTAAAGAGTGGTACAGACATTTGGCTGTCTTTATCATAGCTGAGAAGTACCTGGAAAGCATTGCTACTAATTTCTGTCAGTTTCTCTAAGACAGCAATTGATCACAAGTTGTATAATCAAACTTGTAATTATTTATGATGCTTTTGTGTCCATTATTTATGTAATTGCATCCCATGTGTAAAAACAATATAGTCACTTCCTCTGTCTGGACTCTTATTACTCCAGCTTCAGGGACAATGCACTTCCAGATCTCTATGCGTCCACTCATTTGTCTTGTATTAGGTCACCATAACTGATTTTGGGAAGTTATCTTGACTTCAAGAGAATAAAAGTTCCTTGTTTTCAAGCAAAGAAAAGAACAGTAGGTATGGGATATTAGGCAGTTAAGATTCTCTCTTAGAATCAATTTTACCAAATTAAGTTATCATATGTAATAAACAGAGGAACTCAGGTGTCATCGTGCTTTACCTAACTCTTAGTATAGTAATATAATTAAAATGATCTCACATTGGTGGGTTCCATTCCTCCTTTTGAATGTCAGCAATGATGTCAGTTTGCTGTCTTATAAAAGAGTCTGCTGCAATGTTGTAATGCTCTTGTGAGATTTTTCCCCTTTAATTGGGTAGATAAAAACCTCTGAAATTTTGTTTCAGGGGTTTACAAAGTTGAGCTTTTTTTTCCTTAATAGCGGTTCTTATTCTTGATTCTTAATATCATTCTATACCAAACTATTCTTGAGCTTGTTTGTTAACATAAGGATCTCCTCTTTTTGTGACCCTCTTCTATAATAATAACTCCATGTCAATATTGTGTGTACACCATGGTTTTAAACACCTCTAGTATATAGATAAGTCATACCCCTCAGTAACTGCTATATGACAGTCCTATTATCTACACGATAAGCAGAGAAGTCACTGGAAGAATACATAGAAGCACACTCTTACTGAACTCACATTCCCATCTCCATTTTTGGCAAATCTCTGATATGTAGTGATGATAGATGCAATAACTTAAATCCTTTCACTGGACTTCCGGCAAGATGGCAACGGGGCAGCATGGTCTGTGAGACACTCCATGGAAGAGAACACTCATAAAGACCCTAGCTCTCTCCCACAGGCTGCAGCTCCCATCTTCGGTAGCTTGTTCTTCACAGGGAGCTAAGCCGCCATCGCCTCCACTGCTCAGAATCACTGTGGTCTGGGCTGCTGCTGCAGCCGTGAATGCTGTTGCTGCAATCATTGCCTGCCCATGTCTGAGATGACCCATGACTTTGGACTGTGAAACCCCTGCAAGCAAGATCTTCTGAGATCACTGCTGCCTGGCTGCTGCTGCCACTACCACTGCCATGCCATGCCCCTCACCTGGAGCCAGGTCTGTGGAGCTCCCCCTATGTATGGGGAGGTGGCCACCACCGGTCATGGATATCGGCTCTGGACTGCAGGCTTCAGCAGCTGCAGCAGTGAGATAGCATCACCTGCTGGGGATCCAAGGTAACAACATCAAAACAGGAATGACAGATGCTCTTCTCCCTTGATAAACAGACAAGGCCAGATCTCAGTGACAGACTGGGCAGGGAGCCCATATCTGAACTGTTCTTCACAGCAGGCCAGGGGCAACTGACCCTAACTGAGAACAATTCTACCAGCCTGCAAAGACAGCTAGAAATCAGAACTGAAAGGACATTGAACTTAAAGGAAAAGTCTCAGAGTGTGCTTGGTTGGTTCTGTTAGTCTACTCACTTTAATCTATCCTTTTTCCCATTTTTTTTCTTTTTTCTTAATTCTCTGTAAACCCCATCTTTGTATAGAGGAATAGCACACCAGCAAGGAGGTTGATCAGTGTGTACTTAGCATCATTGCATGTTTTAGTTTTTTATATGGCTGTTGGTTAGTTTTCAGTTCTGGTTATTGTTTTTTATTATATTTGTTTCAGTATTTGTGTCTCTTTTCACTTGCCATTCAGTACACTCATCTGTTTTCCATCTCACTCTTCTCTCTCTCCACCCCCTTCTTCCCCTCACAGCCTGCTCCATTCTCTTCCCTCTGTTAACCTCATTTTGATTTCAGAGAGTAAACCTACAACTCCACTGCATGGACAGATTACAAGGCAGTGGGAAGTGGGTTTCAGACTATCCATACACCAGTTGGTGGATACTGGGATCTGCAAAGAGATTTTGAATCACAGCTCCCCCCTTAATTAAATCTCAAAACTGCAAAAAGGACTGCCCTCAACTTACAGTCCAACTCCAGAACTCAATAAAGCAAAAGGAAATACATTAGGAAGAATAGGAGATTGAACAAACAGAAGTAAAAGCAACACTTCCACCGCTGAAAAACAGAGTTAAAGAAAATGGGGAAGTGAAGGGAAGGGAAAAGTAGGGAAGAAAAATCTGCACAAATGAAGAAAAAACAAAAGAAGAATATAGGGCTCACACAGACCCCTGGGAGGTCAGACACTGAGAAAACAGACTTCAGAACACAAGTAGTGAAGAGCCACTAGAATGACTGGTCACATGCAACAAACCCAGACATCCAGACATTAATAGAGAGAATTTAAAAAGCTGAGGAGAGACAAGAGGAAAACAGGAAAGAGCTGACAGAAATAACAGCAGTAAAGAATACTGTGACGGAAATAAATAACAGACTAATAAGTATGGAAAGCAGAATTAGCCAAACAGAAGAAAGAATCTCAGAACTTGAAGACCAAAATACAATACTAGCCCAAATTGTCAAAAACATAGAAAAGAAACTTAAAAAGACAGAACAAACCCTTCAAGAGATGAATGATTACTTCACAAGACACAATCTAAGAGTAATTGGTCTTCCTGAGGAAGAGAGAGAGTCAGAGGTCACACTGGATCAAACATTTCATGAAATAATTCAAGAAAACTTCCCTCATCTCATCAGTGATGTAAAAATTCAAAGACAAGAGATTCAGAGAACCCCTGAAAGCCAACAAACAAGAAGACTAACTCCAAGACACATAATAACTCACCTAAACAAAGTAGCTATAAAAATAAAATCCTAAAGGCAGATAGAGAAAAAGGTCAGACTACGTAACCAGGAAGACCAATTAGAATAGCAGCAGATTTATCTACAGGACCCTCCAGGCTAGGAGAACCTGAAGCTCTATCTTCAAAATGCTAAAAGATAAACAATTTCACCTGAGACTACCCTAACCAGTCCAGCTAAGCTTCATCATGATAGAGAATTGGAAACTTTCCCAGATATCCAGTCCCTAAGAACCTACACTGCCACCAGACCACCTCTACAAAAAACACTTAAGAAAGTACTGAACACAGAAGAAAAGGAAAAAAGAACAACATTATTCACAAGAGTACAGACAAAAGATTAAAAACCCACACGAACCAACTTCAAACCAAAAGAAACACAACAAACAAACAGGCACAACAACTCTGTAAGGACCTTATAACAGGGATCAACTCTTGCATTTCAATAATTAGTCTAAATGTGAATGAACTAAATGCACCACTGAAGAGACATAGAATGGCAAAATGGATAAAATATCATCAGGCAACAATTTATTGCCTTCAAGAGACTCACCTCACTAGAAAGGACACTCATAGACTCAAGGTAAGAGGATGGGAAACAAACTTTCAGGCAAATGGAACACAAAAGAAAGGAGGAGTCGCAATCTTAATTTCAGACAAAATACCCTCTAAGCTATTAAAAATTAAAAAAGATACAGAAGGCCACTACATAATGATAAAAGGTTCAATCCATCAACAAAAAAGATCCATCTTAAACATTTATGTACCCAACATAGGAGCATCAACTTTCATAAAGCAACTTCTACATAACCAAAAAAGATATCATAGCTGGGGACTTCAATACCCCACTCACAACCCTAGATAGATCATCAAGACAAAAAATCAGCAATGAGATCCGGAACTTCAATGTGACTCGACCAAATGGACTTAATTTATACCTACAGAAAACTCCATCCAATGAACACAGAAAACACATTCTACTCATCACCACAAGGAATGTACTCTAAGATCGACCACATACATGGCTATAAATCAAGCATAAGCAAATTTAAAAGGACTGAAATTTTACCATGCACCTTCTCAGACCACAGTAGAATAAAAGTAAATATCAACATCAACAAGGTCACCCCAAAACTCACAAAGACATGGACACTAAACAGCATGATGCCAAACAACTCCTGGGTCAATGATGAAAATCAAAACAGAGATTAAAAGATATCTGGAAACAAATGAAAATGAAGAAACATCTTAC